ACGAATGCCTCACTATCACGCGTGACCTGGCGCCCTATTTCAAAATGATATTTTGACCCCGGAGCGTGTCTTGCTCGCGTAAACTACGTGTCGGCCAGTCCCGCACGTAAGATCACGGTGAGTGGTCTTTCTGTTCAATATGGCGTCTATTTGAAAGTTTGATCTTCATTAATACTTTAACCTTCTTTTCCACCGAATAATAAAAAGTATTCTAACATAAAGTACGTCCAGGCTCTGAGGAAGGCGAAGTCGTCGAAACGTCAGCCATCGTTCAAAAACAACGACAACGACAACGACAACGAAGATCTGTACCAACCTCGCGTCAGCTTAAGAAGATCAGTTTATAAGATCACATAAATAAATATATCAGCTTTACTGGTGAGTTCTGATATTACTCAACGATCAGTGGAAGGACACCTGATATGCAATGGGTTATCACAGCTATTTACTGCCAACGATTAAAATTGTTGATTACTAAGAGTTTCAAACAGTTTATCCCTCTGCATCTCGATTTATCTCTGAAGTTTTGCTTAAGACTCATTTTTAAACTGTAGTTATTAATTTCAATTATTACCACGCGTTATCCTCATTATTATTACTAGTTATTACGAAGAAATATCACTTATGCTGATGCTCATCGTCACTGTACCTTCGTCTATCCGCAGTAGAAGGAGACATTTCCTTGTAGTAGTGTCCATTTATCCTCAAATAACTGGTCGTTAGAAAATGTTCTAGAAATTAACCAAGGGAACCTGGAAAACGAGTAGTAAGGTCTTGCAGTGCCCAGGAACTCTCCAACAGATTTTATACCGCTGTGTAGATGCTCGTACCTAGTAGTTGAGAGAACTAAAATCTTATTTGATTATCAATCAGTTAATGATAACCTTATCAGTTGAGAAAACCACAACTCCGAAAGCTCTAAATTCGTACTTAGTTGAAAACTTAATTGGCCTGTTCTCATTAAGAGTCCCAGATGACTGGTAATTTGATAGTCGAGAAAGATATTCATTCCTTAGAGGCAGTCGTTCTACGGCTTTCCCAGGTGGCTATCACAGGCATTTGTTGCCAAACTTTGTGGATCCAAGTGGGATTTACCGCCTATCGACTGGATTATGTCCACAAAGGGACGACTCGTCACTGTAGTTCATAACACATGAATTCCACATCTCACTAGCCCTCAGTGGTTTCCCTTATGTCACACTATGTGTTAAAGAGGAAAATTTGATAATAAAGAGACAGGAAAGTTAGGAATTACCAGAATGTACCTTTCAGGTGAAGCAGTTTCCGAACTGCAATGACTACTTTCGCAGCGAATCAGTTTCACCGGCCGAATGGGCATCGCACAGTCACGGTGAGTAGCCTTTTGCCATGATTCGTATTTTACTATAACTGGACTCTGTCTATATCATAGAGCGTTTAGCGTAGTGGTGAAAGGTGCTATGCGATAGACATGGAATCGATCTCCTCGGCCCACGCTCACTAAGCCCTCGATTTTTTTGGGAACGGCAAATTGTTACTAGGCCTCCACGAGCCATTGCATAGATTCTATATGCATTCAATCACTTGCAGCGATGCTTAATGAAGTCGAATGGACGAATACATAGAGCATCCCTCAGAGATTGATCAACGCTGAGAGCGTTATCTTTTTTTAAACTCTGTCAGTGTAAAATATTCAAGAACAAATCCGTTTGAAGAAAGCATTTACATCTACTTTTTTCTCTACATTCCTCAAAATTCTGGTAATTTTTAGCTTACTACGTCTTCGATCTTCATGTGATAACAGCGGTACAAACGTGCTTACCATTTTTTGTGTTACTCATTCTGAATCTGATCATAGTACATCGTTTGGTGGTTCAAAAAAAGAAACATGTAAGTTGATTTAATAACCGTATCAATAAAACTTCATACATCGTCGTTACTATAAATAGCAAACATGCCAATGGTGAAGAAGGGGAAGACCTACGAAAACGTTTCTGGTGATACCGTAATTTGATGCGGTTTCCGAAACCGCGTATCAAACAGCACAACAGCTATACTGTGTCTTTGCAGCCTTGAAGTTTCTGGACAAGAGTTTTAATGTTTTAGGCAGGACTTATGACCATCTATTAGCCGTGTAGTCATTCAATCAATTAAGGCTCACTATTAGATAGTTATAGGATTTTTCAAGCAATTTTACGTACTAACTACAATGTTATTAAATTTTTCTCTCGATAGTTATGATAATATTTAAGTAATAAAGTTTCTGATTTCGATGAATCCTCATTGAAAGGGAGAAATGCCTATCTATGATTTCATTTTTCGTTTTTCATTCAGCGACTCATATCTAACATTATTTACTTATTACCTGTTTGCTTACGATACATCAGAAAAATGCGCTTTCTGTCTTCTGATTACTCTAGATAGGCTAATTCACAGTCCCCATAATTGGCCATTAGAATCCGAGGATCGTAGCATTGAACAGTATCCAGCTATCTTTCAACGAAAAAAACGGACTTGTCTGGCCTACATCTTAAGGACTATTGGTGATATACTTATTTCGAATATTTAGAGTTTAAGATGAATATGAAATCTGTGGGCCATGAATTTCGCAAACATTTGACTACCATAATCTTTCACTCCATTAAATTACATTTAGAAGAAAGCTGTCCTGAAACCGCGCCTCTCTGGTGTCGCTGTGAACAAGAATCTATTAGACGCACAAGGAACGTTCACAGAAAACTACGTTCTTCTCGAGATGGCAGGCGAATTGATGCGAGAAACACTTATAAAAAGGTTACAAAAACACATTAGACAAATTATCAGTCATGCTACGGGAACGAGGAACGCAGTCGTAACGGTCCTGTTCATTACACGAGAGGCCCAACCTACTCGGGGATTGGTTCGGCCCGCTCAAGACCCGCCAAGCCATTCATTCATACAGGGTCGGAAAAATGGTACTGGATATATCTGAGGTAGCCTAGCTCCCTCTAATACATGTGAGAACCTCCAAACGCGGCTAACCTAGGATTCCATAGTAAATTGACTTGACGAGTATTCAGCGAAATTCCTGCAGAAGGTGAAGAAATCCTCAACTAGTAGTCGAAGCAATATGCAAAAAGCTTTTAAGACCTCCGTGGCGTTGGTGAGAGGAAGCGGACCGAATGCAAGAAGTGCTGGAACTTGTACAGTGTGATATCGGAGAATTATCAGCAGTTATCAGTCGACATTTTCTATGGACCGTTCGATTGTGGCAGTTGTTTTATTGTTTTTTTTTATTTACATGACCCTTCGTCACATATGATGTGCGGATCATGGCACTTTTTTCATACCAGTCGTTTTCATCTATTCAACATCCATAAAGGTCTCCGAATATTTCGAGTGTTCTTTCGGCTGTTGGTCGAGGATTTTCACTTCATCTTGAATGTCGTAGAATGCTGGTCGAGTCGATTCATCCTGGAGTAATGAGATAGCCAGGCTGGTGCTTTCCCAATTCGATTGCAGAGAGTGATTTTTTCTGCGGACAAGTCCAAGATCAATTTCCCGACCCCGGTGGGATAGAAGGCGTAGTTGTCCGGGATTAGAATCGGACTAGCACCATGTCGTGATTGTGGTATAAACAATATCTAAGTATGCAAATCACTAGTTAGAGGGAAACGGAGCTAGGATACTTGCGGTTCATGACGATTCATGAAGACTACCAATCCAAGTATTCAAGCAATACTTTAAGAGTGGTAGAAGTTTAGCTTCGTTTAGGAGAATAATTAAATTTCGACAGTCATCAGTTTTTTGTTCATTCCTCAATCTCGCTTATCACAGATCAACACGTGATAACCGATCTCAGTTACGGAATGCTATCTACACTATGCTGGCAATTGTGATGTCATATCTGGTCTGTAACGGAGTGCACCTATTCTTAACGTTCTTAGAAAGGACGGACAACGTGTTTTCACTTCTCTATGATTCGGACGATCCAAATCAATCTAGTAACTTTTATATCGGTACGTTATTTTATATCATATGCATCTCAGAGGTAATTCTAGTGGCATGATAATTCAGCACTGTTCCGTCTTAATGCTCATTTTCTCATACCTTAGTTTATAGCCCAAAATACAGTTTACGAAGAAATCATAAGCAAATTCTCTAAAAGGAAAAAAGGTTTTCTAGCAAACTCTAGGTTTACTCAGTAATCCTTCAGTAATCTGAAAATGGAAGATCAGTCCTTTAAGTTGACTTGATTCCTACGGTAGGTCCGTTTGCAATCCGTTTGCTTAACATATCGAAATGGTTCAGTCCCATAAACCACTATGTTTTTTCTTTATGAAGATCATGGATGGAGAAATGAACACATAATCCAAACGTCACCTTTATGACATAAAAAATATTAACTTAAATCTTGAATACATATGAATATAATGAAACAAACATGCAAGGAGAAAAATGGAATGATCGAAATGATTTGTTCAAGTTTTACGCTACTTGAGATCGGACTGAAAAACCATTAACCATTTCAAAAACGGTAAATCCAGATAGGGTTTAAGATTTCCCTCATGTCAAGTAGCAACATTCGATTTTTCGATTTTTCGATTATTCGAGCACTCAAAAACTTTTCCTGTCCCAAGGGTTTACATGCTTCTTTTCTTTGAGGATTCGACTTTCTTTTGTTTTGAACACAAAGAGCCAACACTGAAAATTTCAGTGCACTCTGAACCTTAGTCTTAACTGCCTCAAATCCGCTGATTTTACGAGTTTCTTTTAACGAATCCGTCTCTATCTCTGCAATGGACAAACATGCTCCGTGTTTCTGTTATACTCCTAAAATAAAATCTTTTCATTCAGCCCTTTCTGACACGGTCAGCATTTGTTACATGGTGTCGTCGGCAATTCGGATTCTAATCTACACCAAGTGCAACACAAAGCTACGACATGAGATCCGGAATTTCCTACGTAACCAGAAGAACTTGCCTACAGAAAACGACGACTGCTGAACCGGTTAAGATTGGACTCTGATTTCCATTCATATACGAGCTTCAAATCACAATGCAATCGAATAGGTTCTGAACACCACAACATCTCAGCTTGACTGGCTGCCGCAATGAGAAACAGATTGTAGACCGTGCCTTTACTTGTACACTTCCAGAAGAGAATTCGTAAACCACCGTCGTAAATGTGGAAGGCTTCCTATTGTGCGGAGGTTATGTATATTTGATTTCTTCTGGATGTTCTCGTACTTTCTATAGCTCTATCTTTTGAATTTTACACGTCTGAACATTCTTCCGGATCCACCGACATCATTGCTTGTTTACATTACCGCCTAACGAGATCTCTTGCTAAATAAATTTCGTTATCGAATTTTTTCTTTTCAAACGCCATCGGTAAATAGTTTATCTCTCCACGCTTGTTTTGCCGACCAATTTCATAATTGTTTGTTTTCCGTTGCCTCCATAGCTAAGAGCTTAACTGGCTTCAATTTCCTTGATTTGTGATTTCCCTTCTCATCCTATCTCGTACGAAGCAACGTTCAATACGCTTTAACAGTTAAGTGTAGTCAAATGTCGGGTGTAGTACTACTATATAGTTATTTATTACTGCTATTGGAATCATAACAAACTTTACTACACATTAATAAAAATGTATAAATTGTTTTCACGTTCAAACTAACTCTTGATGTTTAATGCTGGTATTGCAGTCAATCCTCTGTAAAAAGTATTTTACAAGATCTCTACCTAACAATGGAAGTCTTGATAGAAAGCATGCACCACCAAGAATATGGCTAAAAAGTAAGAATGCAATAAGATCACCTTTAAAAAAGAATTGAGTGTTCGGCGCTGATCAATCCCTATAGGATGGCCAGTGGATTCAACTCTATTCGTAAAATCATTGAGCCGGCTGAATGCATATTTAGCTCATAAAACTAACTTTTGGCGACCTGCCCATGCATCAGGTCATCGTTCTTTATAGTCCCAGATAAACCTGGTATCAATTTGTGGACTCCGGAGGATTAGGTGAGCTTGGATCGCACGGGGCGTGCGATCGAACCAACGACCACTCATATGTTGTATGGGATAGCTAACCACTACTCCACACTTGGTCTGAATTACCCAATCTTTTGATTTACACGCTAAAATTGTTTGTATATAATCGATTAAGTTTCACAGATGTCTGTGGCACATGGGGCTCGTGGCTGCCTTGTAGCTACGCCGCACCTCAAAGATGGGCAAGCAAACCCTCACTAGGTAATTTAATCACTTTTTATTAACTGTCTATTCTTTTTCCATGGCAGAGTGTAACATCAAATATAACCACAAGAATGCTGAGATATTTGAAAAAGTGGGACTGCAAGTATCTGTGGGCGAGATCGAACACGCTATTACCCCTTCTGGGTGCTAACGAGAAACGGCTGAGACAAAGGCGAAACGAAGGATCCGCATGGTGTGGTGGTGAGAACGTAAGCCCCGGTAACGGCAATACCGTGTTCAATCTCCAGCGCAGACACCTACGGTCCGGAGTTTTGCAAGTCATTATCATCATTATGGTTATACCTACTATTTACTTGGATCCTTGGACGCTCCGTGTACATTGGTTTTGCGGAACCCCAGCAAAATTTCTACTAGTTCGCAGTTTTGCTAATTTAGCGCTTGTGGGTCCCCGCAGTCCCGAGATTAGAACAGCCAAAGTCTCCCTCAGGTCGTCATCACCACATTCAGCTGCCACGTTTGTGGATCAGAGGGAGATTTATCACCATGCAACTAGTTTGATACCAAGACGGTGGTGTTTCCTAGTATCTGTCTAGTGTTAGCTTCCTGATGGAGATACCGGACTTCTTCTCAGCCTAGGAGACTCTACTGGGACGAATCCCCACGCTGTTCATCGCAGCCCGACACCCAGCAGCGCCTCACAGTCACGATGAGGTGGTAAACCGTTGGGTGGTGTTATACTTCAGTAGATAATATTACGACAATAATCTTATCATCAGAAATCCAAGCTAAGAGTAAACCAATACCAAGATCGACCACCGTCATGGTATCAAACTAGTCGCATGGTGGCAAATCTTCCTCTGTTCCACAAGGGGGCGAACGCCCGTGGTGGTGACGAATAGAGACCGACTTTGGATAGGCTAACCTCGGAAATCCGGGGAACGATAATGGCTAACCCAGCAAAGCTCCGAAAAGATGGAAATTATGCTGGTGTCACAATGTCACAACCGGTGAAGACAGGCCATCCAAGTATTCAAGTAAGCATCACAATTACAATGGGTTCATCGATGTGAACGTACACATACACAAACGATGCAAACAAAACATTGTTGCCATACAAAGCTAAAATAAATAAAATGAATATGCATGTCTACTTAGCAAAGCTAATATTATGACATCGACCTCAGCTAGAAGGACTTGGTAGCAGGTGGCGATCTTTACATAGTGTCTGGACAGTGCGGTAAGCGCGATCCTTGCAAGGCAGCCATGGCAGGGTCTCATGAAATTGTTCGTCTTATACTACTCGGTGGATGCTCCTCTGCACTACCAATGACTTTCACTGGTTGATCTGTTCACACTCCGAACCTGAAATGTCTTTTGCATGGTTGACTTGCGAAGCTTCGTCTTGTTTGACGACTTTTTGAGGAATTTGGTCGTGAGCTGGTTGAAGTAGGTGGCTAGGACGCATAACAAAGTCTGCATGTATATGGCTGCCAAGTGGCTGGGATAACTGGTGACACTTGTGCGACTCTGTGCAGTGGACTTTCTCACTCAAGGAACACGAAGAAGCTGGTGTGACGTTCATTATTTTCATTGTTGTCACATACGAATCTCTGCTGTGCATCATCATAATACGATTCCAAGCAATACCCATCAGATACGGTCGGTTTTATCCTTTAAATAAATTACCTGTGCCGAGTAAATCGCAATGTTAAGGGTTACAACGATTTTGATCGCAACCTCAGCTTAACAGGGTTCAACGCTGATTTGTGCTGTCCACATTACTCCACGGGTGAGTGTCGATAGCACTGTTGCGGTAAAATACTGATTGACTGGAAGGTAAAGCAAGGTTCTCCATTGGTGAAGTGGATAACACGTGAGCACCGGGAAGGATAATCGTGGGTTCGAAGATCAAGTGAACTCCCAAATCTTGTTAGTATCTTAGCATGCTTGTGGCTGTGCTACACTGTGGTGTCCTTGTAATTTTGATTAATTTTGATGAATAAATTCCTAAATCAGTCTTAATAAACTTTTTGATGTTAGAAATGGTACTTTCTGTTGAATCAACGATGTGACTACTTTCTACTGCAATGGCCTATGACACTAGAAGCTCATTTGCATATTGTTTGGCATATTAACGTCATCTAGATCAAGCCCTCAGCTACTTCACACGTTCATAGCTGCACAAACTATTTCTCAATCTATGAATTTAGGAACAAATAACACACAATGATGATGACGGCTTAAGAGTTTGAAGAATGACCATAATGATGCTGAGATATTTGCAAAACTCCGAACCGCAGGTGTATGCGGTGAAGAACGAACCCGCGCTGTTGTCCTTATCGGGGAGCAGCGCACTTCGCGCGGCAGGCAAAACGAAGGACCCGGATGGTGTGGTGGTGAAGTGCGCTGCTCCCCGGTAAGGACAACAGCGCGGGTTCGTTCCCCACCGCAGACACCTATGGTGCGGAGTTTTGCTAATATCTCAACGTCTTATGAACTGATCTTGTTGAGCTGAAGCGAAGATGGCGTGAGTTTTCGTTGCAGATTTAGTAGAGGACTCAGAGTCTTACTCGTAACAGCACGGGTCAAGGAAGGCGAAACCACCGAAACGTCAGCCATCGACCAATAACACCATCAGCAACAACAACAATAACAACAACAACGAAGACCTATTCGCATCAGTTCAACAAGATCAGTTTATAAGACCGTATAAATAAATATATAAACTATTTATGCCAAGGTTTACAGAAAATCGGTGTTTTAAATTATCTCAACATCATTATGAAGCTCTTACGATTGAAATTCCGTGCAACCTATCTCTCAACTTGAACACCTTTCGGTCATCATGTGTCCCTCTCAGTTAGCCAGACTTTATTTGCAGTTGACCATGTTAGTAGTTTATGACCTTCGACCACTCAATAGTGTATGCGAAAGACGAAATAATGAACAGAACCTGAAGCTCTTGAGCCCACGATATTTCTGGAAACGTATCCTTGCTAGATCATTTAGAGGAGTGTCGATTTCATCGGGGAACTGAGCATTCTCACGTTCTTTACGGTATTTTTCAACCTAATTAGGAGAGTAAAATCAATTAAAAGTTTGTGTAACTAGGGCGGCACAAAATATTTCTAAATTTACATCGTCGAGATCGTTCTCCTCATCTCCATCGTCGACTTCAGAAGTCATATCGTCATCTTCCTCCAGAACAGATGGTTGATCAACATCACTTTTCACAACTGACTCCATCTCCATTCTATCCTCCTTGTCAAATTGTTCTCCTTTCTCCTAAGACTACTTCACTCGAAAAACGTACAAAACTGAATAGTGGATACCACAACGAACGAACATCTTCGCTGATATCCTTGTAGTCGGAACAAGATGAGCCCTCTTCGTCTAGAATCCAAGTAGCTTGATAACCCGACGTTCCTTTTGGAACTTTGCGAACGCTTGGTTCAATTTTCACTGAAATGAATAAAGTATAATATAACCAGTTGTACAAAAGACAGATGGAACCTGACACTCTTCGTCATGAGAAACGTCGTATTCATCGGGCCACGTTTGCTCGGCTTCCATAGGATCCGGAACTATTTCGGTTTGAAGCGGTTCGCGACGTGATTCATCAGCGACAACTAATACTTTTGGGAATTTCTCTTCTGTTGACTCCCTCCTCTTAAACATTACATTTGAGTATATATATGTTCAGTATATGTACACATATATGCGTACATATATATACATATATATATGTATATATATAAATACATAATATGCATATATAACAGATGCAGAAACAATGTCATCTTAAGCGATGAGTATACGGTATGTATATGCGTATATGTATATGCGTGCATGTATACAAATGTAAGTAGACATTTAATCCTCTGTGTATGCACGTTTCTATACATGCGCATATATACGTACACAAGTACACGAATGTACTATGTATACATGTATTTACATATATACATATGTAAGACCTGTGGTGACGAATACATTGGCGAAACGGGTAGACCCCTCTGTGTCCGCATGAAAGAACACCTAGCCGGCAAAAATAGACCAAATACCCCACTAGGCACGCATAGGACCCAGAGACATAACGGGGACGACTTCGAAGTATGTGTCACGATCCTCGCACGCGAATCGAGAACACAGGCGCGAAAAACTCTCGAGGCACTCTGGATTAATTCCAGAAATCCGAAAATGAACCGCAGGGAAGAATGCCTCATTATCACGCGTGATATAGGGCAGTATATAAAACTGCTTTTCTGATGTGAGGGGGACATTATACTTCCACGTGATTTCTGTGCGGTTGGTCTCTACGTGACATACTTAGTGGAAACCTCATAGAAAGCGGTGAGTGTGCAAAGCTGTGTTCAAAGTGATTGAAATCTTGGTTTGGAGTTTCTTTGTTTGGTTATGGAGGCGTCTGGCCGAGTGGGTTGCTATCAACTTGACCTTTCCAGGCTCTGAAGAAGGCGAAATTCGCCGAAACGTCAGCTTAATCGTNTAGGCACGCATAGGACCCAGAGACATAACGGGGACGACTTCGAAGTATGTGTCACGATCCTCGCACGCGAATCGAGAACACAGGCGCGAAAAACTCTCGAGGCACTCTGGATTAATTCCAGAAATCCGAAAATGAACCGCAGGGAAGAATGCCTCATTATCACGCGTGATATAGGGCAGTATATAAAACTGCTTTTCTGATGTGAGGGGGACATTATACTTCCACGTGATTTCTGTGCGGTTGGTCTCTACGTGACATACTTAGTGGAAACCTCATAGAAAGCGGTGAGTGTGCAAAGCTGTGTTCAAAGTGATTGAAATCTTGGTTTGGAGTTTCTTTGTTTGGTTATGGAGGCGTCTGGCCGAGTGGGTTGCTATCAACTTGACCTTTCCAGGCTCTGAAGAAGGCGAAATTCGCCGAAACGTCAGCTTAATCGTGAACAAAGAATAGTAACACCTCGCGTTTGCTCAACAAAAATATGAAGAAAATCACTTGATCAATGCCGAGGTTAATAGAAAGTCGGTCGTGGCAGTTACATATGTACATATATATATATATATATATATATATAATGTAAATCCAGCTGCTTACCACCTCATCGTGGCTGCGACTGATCTCCAATCAGGGTCTCTCAGCCTGAAAAGTAGAAGAGCCCGGTGTTTCCATCAGGAAGCCCAGCTAAGAGTAAACAAATACCACAGTCCACCATCGTCCTGGTATCGAACTAGTCGCATGGTGGCAAATCTTCCTCGGATCCAGAAGAGCGGCAACTGGTCGCGGTGGTGACGACCTGAGCACACTTTAGCCAGGTCGACCTCTGGACACCAGGGAACCACGATAGGTAAAGCAACAGAACTCCGAAAAAATGCTTATGCTGGTGCCCGCACAACTAGTGAAGCCGCGTCATCCAAGCATCCAATATATATATATATATACATATATATATGTAATATATGCACCTACATATGTGTATATATACATGTTATATAAATATATATATGGAGTAAAAACAGCAGTGAACAAAAACGACCAATAAAGAATATTTTAAACCTTTTGCAACGGATGAGGATCAGCTTCAGTTAGTATACGCCCGATCTGGAAATCCCCCCATCCCTGAATATGGACCAATCGATTGACATTCCAAACTGGACCACGAAGATAGCCGCTTGCCAGTAACGAACAAATACCTGCCTAAAGCCAAGGTATTAGAAAGTATGTAATAAAATGCTGGTACTATGCATGCGCTAAGAATAGCATACATTATCCCCAACGAGTTCCAACTTTTCCACCAAAACATGAGGTCTCCGCTGCTGCAATATCGTCTTGTTTTTCTTCATCTCAACGAGATGACGTAAAAGAAGTTGGCTCTCCATTTCTGTGTCGCAACAGAACAATTTGCCTGTCGTCAAATTTCTGGAACAACAAGGTGACTACATGAGTCAGGCAAGACTCGCAATACAAAACCAGTGATAAAACACTTGCGAAAAACACGTACATATCGGCGATTAGAGCCTGCACACTCTTCCGAGCATCCTCCCGTCTCTTTCCGATAGAAATACTACTCAGACCTGGCGCAACATTGATAACGGAAGGCAAACCTGGAAGAAACTAGCAAACACTTCTTCTAATGTACTTTAAATCAATCTTTTACAAGGTGGTACTAGATTTAGGCAACCAAAGTATAAATCTGATCATTGTGACGACAAAGGCGAAGATTATGAATATTCTCAAATAACAATAAGTTAGTGGTTTCAAAGCGATCCAATGACTTGTCAGTAAGAACAAACAATGGTCACATAACGTCGTTTACTCCTTGTCTTCCTTATCATCAACTTTCTCATTTGCCTTATCCTCCTGTTCATTACCGTCATCAGCCTCGTCATCAAAATCTTTAAAGTATGGATATCGCTTATCCATTGTTTTCCTCATCGCCAACGTTATCTTTTGTCTTATCTTCCTGTTCATTACTGTCATTAACCTCGTCATCATCGTCTTCCAAGTCCACCATTTCAGCGTCGCCGCCATCGTCAAGGTCATCAAAATCAGAAGCACCACACAAACCATTTTCAGCACCCGAATGATAATTAGACAACAGTTTACCCATGCTCATTATATGATATGATCTCGGAAACCAGCAAATCCGAATTGGACTAAGAACTAAACTGACCGTGTGCTTTCATAATTGTAAGGAGTAAGTGATTTCTCATGCTCAATTCCCCATCAGACGGCCATAACAAGCACACCACATCCGAAACCTAAACCTGTAGCATAGGATTCTCAACACGGCCATTGCCACTTGTAAACCCACCTTTACACAATCAAGGACATCGTCAACTTTCTCGGGGTCCGGCGTGAGGAAACCAATTCGTGACTTAAGCTTAGGAATGCTGAAAAGAGCTTGAACCTGCATCGGTATATACCTACGATAGAGAACGCGTATATGAGGAAACACCTACGCAAGGTAGACGACGTTGTGTCCTAATGTGCTTACGATGGTCTCATCAGTTTTCGATAGACTTGAAACGAATTCCGACGGCTTGCAACTATTCCCGAACGTCAGAGCTGTCTAAAAAGAGGAAGAAATTAACATTGCAGGAAACAACAACGAAAAAAAAAAACGAGACAGCCAAGAGCGTACGATTAATGCCGGTGCAAGAGAAGTTCTTTCATTGCCTCTACGTTGTTCGAGAATAGCCTTTCGTTTATTTGCCCGAATTTGAGCAGCTTGTTGCTGCCGCTCCGACTTGGAGAGAAAACGTTTACGTGAGCGAACAGCCGTTGAGACCACCACTCGACCTAATAACACAATTATAAACTTCGCCTAGGTGTAGAAAAAAAAGATAAACTCTCGTTGATCACTCCCTGAGAAACAAGCCATGCATTCGACTTCATTAAGCACCGTTGAAGGTGATTGAATGCATATCATGATTCGCGGTGACGTACCGGTGTATCGACCCAGTGCTGCTATCATTCCAGACAAGTCTGGTACCAATTTGTCGACTCCGGAGGGATAGAGGCCTTGGGGCGCGGAATCGATCTCATGTGTATTGCAGGGCGCCTCTGACCACTGCGCTACATGCGCGTCCAATTCATTGTAAAATCTAAAGAGATCCGTATCCAGTAGAAAGCAGATATTAGAAAAACCTCTATTTTCAGCGTCAATTTGTCCTTTCGATCGTTTCCCTTTGAATGTTTTGTGAGCTTTCGCCGGCCTTTTGAAAACTCCGGGCTGGTGACCAGTGCTCATTGCCTGAACGTTTTCCATTTACATACAGCAAGAACGGAACTCATGTTAGCAAAGAAAGTCGTTCATCAACTTTTAACGCTCACGTGACGTCGCACAACTAAAGAAAACCATAAAAAATCCGGAAGTGCTTTCTATGCTCTAAAATGGCATAACTGAGTAGAATGAAAACTACGTTCGGTCCGGCAAAACAAGCAGAAATCAATAACATCGATTTTCTTTTTTTCGAGTACTAGAAACATTTATAAAGGGCACCAGATGATTCCCCGACTTTTAACAGAAATGAGTCATCGTGATTACACTTGGATAGTCAAACCCTACTTGTACCATCACTATAGCAGATCGATCTTTTCCTTCCTACTACTAAGCAATAATCAATATAATCAATCCTTGTCCATGAATCCGCCCGATGAAAAAACGAAGCAGATCCTAGGATTTTTTTTGTGGAAGGATATATTAAAACCGTGGAAAATTCTGTTTAGGACTCCGTGTCACCGTTTAGTTTGTAGTTTGGCTGACGTCATACGGTATCATCGTTTCTGTAGAACTACGTACTTCCCCGTTCGGTTCTCTCCCTTCTTTGCATTCCATAGAATTCGTATTACATCCGGACCCCTTATCCTGGAGAATGAAAGCTTTGAGCCACCTGTTGACGTGGACATTCCATATATCATCATCATTCTCACTTTGTGATTTTCACAGATGGAAAGCTTGTTGAAAAGAGCCTGTGACATGTACTTTGTAACTTTGCATAAAATCTTTGTAGACCTCGGTATTATTTAAGCGTTATTCCCTCTTATGATATCCTATTTAAGGGTAGTCTTAGCAGAGCGGGCTAGGTTCTTGTCGTTGATCCTTCATGGCTGACGTTATCACTCCAGCTTCAGAACCTCCTGCTGCTTCTACTCAACCGTCTTTCCGTCGTGGATTTGTCAAACAAGTAAGCTGTACTACATACTTTTAGCTATAAGGTTTTGCTGTTTTCTTCACGCGTACCTATATTTTTGTTCCACTATATATTTCTTCGGGCGCATGTGGCGCAATGGTCAGAAGCACCCTGCAGCACACACGTGGAATCGTTCCCCGAGCCCATGGCCCACCAAGCCTTCCATCCCTCCGGGGTCGGAAAATTGGTATCGGACTTGTCTGGGAGGATAGCAACACTGGCTCGATACATCGGTAGGCCACTGCGAGTCATCGTAAAGGCCAGATATGCATTCAATCACCTCCAACGATGGTTAATGAAGTAGAATGGATGGCGCATCCGTCAGAGATAGATCAACGCCGAGAGCTCTACCCTTCTATTTTATTATATAATTCTTTCGTGCAGATATTGGGATTAGGGGCACCTGTATTCGTTATGCATCTTTTGCTTTTTACTGGCATTCCATGTCTTTAAATGGAACCTTAAGAGTTTATGTTGGGCTTTCGGTCGATCTTGTCATTTTGCAGGTGTTATCAGGCGATGCTGTTGTTTTGCAAGGTCAGCCTACAAATGGACCACCGCCAGAGACTACCGTTTATCTAAGTAATGTAGTTGCCCCTAGGCTTGGAAAACGTCCTACTGAAACCACCACAGCAACTGTTGATGAGGTAGTTAATTATTTTCCAGTGATTAGACGAAACTTCTTTAATGCTACGTTTAGAAATCTGTAGCTTTCTTCTTCATATTTTAGCCGTTTGCTTGGGATTCTCGAGAGTTCCTTCGTAAGAAGATAGTAGGTCAGATGGTCACCTTTATGAAGGAGTACACGGCTGCATCCGGAAGGGATCACGGCAAGATATACCTGGGTGGAACCAGTAAGTGTGTTGGATTGGTTCGATATTGAATCCTTGCAAAGTCCATCTAATTTAAGAGAACTGAGCTGTAAGTCACTTGCTTATTTATTCACTCTCCACTTTTTTTAATGGTAGGGTATTGTGTGAAATATAACCATAATGATGTTGAGATATGTGCAAAAATCTGGACCGCTGGTGTTCGCGTTAGGGACCGAACACACTATTACCCTTTCCAGAGGCCTAGGTACCGGTGATACCCTGCCATTAAAAGAAAGCAAGCAGTAAATGGAAAAGTGACGGTTTTATGATTTATATTATCCCACAGCTGCAGCTTAATTGGCTTCAGTGCCGATTTGTGCTCCCAGATCAATGCTGTTGACTGGTGACTGCCCATAGCACGCTGTAGGTCAATAAGACGGATGAGAGAAAGGCAAAACAAAGGACTCGGATAGTGTGGCGATAAACACGTTAGCCCCCGGAAAGTGTAATAGCGTGTTCGGTCCCCACCACAGGAATCAGCTGTCCGAAGTTTTCCAGATATCTACGCATCATTATGATCTGTGACTGTTATTCCTCTTCAGAGAGTTGGAAAAGATATAGTCATGTTTTAAGATCCCGATAATGCAGAAAACCTTACTGAGAGTGGAGTCGCAGCTGGATGGCTCGAAGTTCGCCCTGGAAGAATTGCGGAGTAAGGATAATTTCTTACTGAGACCATTCAGAAGTGTTATGATGTTTTCTTAATGTTGTTTTCTTAATGTTGATCTTTGTTAGAAACAATGAAGCTTTCAGTGAGTATGTCACGAGATTGTTAGAATTGCAAGAACAGGCGAAAGCAGCTGGTAAAGGGAAGTGGGGAAGTTCGAGTGACTCTATCCGTGAAGTGAAATGGGTAGTTGAGAATCCACGACAGCTGGTGGATCAGTACAAGCAGAAGCCTGTGGATGCAGTTGTCGAGATGGTGTGCTTCTTTTTCATGGTCTCTTATTCAACACTAGTAGTTCATGTTGTGTGACTATGCTAATGCTAATGTACGTGGCCATGAATGCTGAGCTGCTCTTTTTTTGTAACTATTTCTAGAACAGAATGGCGCGTGTGGCGCAGTGGTCGGAGGCGCCGTGCAGCACACAAGTACATTCGAGCCCTTAGCCCACCAAGCCTTCCATCCCTCCGGGATCGGCAAATTGGTACCAGACTTCTCTGAGAAGATATCAGCACTGACTAGATATATCATTAGACCACCGCGAGTCATTGTACAGGCCAGATTTGTGTTCAGTCACTTCCAAACGATGCTTAATGAAGTCGAATGCATGGTGCATCCTCTTTTGTCCTTTCTTGCTAGAGAGAGGTTTTCCAAAAGTTTGGCAGACACACTCGATGGATTCGAAGAAATGTTTTTCTTCAGCTAATTATTACTATCTTGCTGTACTTATGTTTTGGGCTCAACATATTCTAGGTCCGTGATGGTTCTACACTGCGCGTGATGTTACTACCCAGTTTCGAGTACATCACTCTACAGTTGTCCGGAGTTCGTGCTCCAGCCACCAGGGCAGGAACAGATGGTAAACCAGAACCGTATGCAGAGGAAGCCAAATACTTTGTTGAGCAACGACTTTTGCAGCAAGATGTTCAGGTTCGGTTAAGTTGAAATTCTATAAATCACATAATATTGTATTATTTATTGACTAGGTGATACTGGAATCTACCTCAAATCAGAATGTTGTGGGATCAGTGATTCATCCAAAAGGAAATATAGCAGAGTCCTTGTTACGTGAAGGATATGCAAAATGCGTTGACTGGAGCATTGGATTGTGTACAAGTGGTGCTGAAAAGCTTCGAGCGGCAGAGAAGTTAGTAGGAGATTTCCGTTATGACCTGTTTTCTTCTTATTTTAGAATCTTCTTTTAGACTTAGTATTCTAAAAGTTACAGACAAGCGAAAGATAAGAAACTACGGCTATGGAAAACATATCAACCTTCAGCAGGAAGTGTTCTTTCTGGCGACAAGAAATCGTTCACTGGAAAAGTTGTTGAAATAATTATGTCTGATGCAATGATGATTAGCAAGGCAGATGGATCGGAGGTTAAGATCCATCTAGCTTCCGTGAGGTTGCCGAGGTTCGTTCTAATGAAGACAACATTGACTGAAATCTTGTTTCTGTTTCTTTTTTCTGTTGCATCGCTAAAAGGGAAATAGTAATGATCGAGCATTAAACAGAATGACCAATATGGAGCACTGTTGTCACTTAATACAGCGTGGAGTTGTTCTCACGATGTCATACCATAGGTAACGTTTTGCAGCCATATGAATCATACTGGAAGCATACGTGGGTGGGAAGGTCAAGTAATTTGAGACATACTGGATCCCTGTTTCCCACTATTTGTTTCTTCACTCAAATATAGAAATGCTGTACTCTTCTCGACTGATGCTGTGGATAGCTAACTTTGAGGGACGCTGTTCTCTACACATTGGAATTTCCAAGAAGAATTTTTGAAAAAAATTTTTTTTCCTTTGCGTTAGTTTCGTGTTTACTTCCATGGTGATTCTTTGCTAACTTAGCGGGTGGAATAACAGAAGAGTGCAGATAAGAAGTATATGATAGCAAGACATTTCTTCTGCTCTCGTACATCACAATTTTGAACATGGTGGAGCACCTCTTCGCTATTCTGGGTTATAAAGCAAAAACTGTATAGATGATTTATATGATTTTTCAAACTGATCTTTTTTATCTGATGCGAGGTTGGTGTAGGTCTTTGTTATCGTTGTTGTTGGTGTTGCTGGTCGGTGGCTGACGTTTCGGCGAACTCGTCTTCCTCAGAGCGGTGCTGAGAATACCAATCGTAACAACAGGGCTCTGAGAATGGCGAAATCGCCGGAACAGCCATCGACCAACAACAACAAGGACGACGACGAAGACCTATAGCAACCTCACATCGGCTTAAAAAGATGACTTTATAAGGTCATATAAATAAATATATCAACTGTTTATGCTGAGTTCCATAGAAAGTCGGTCTTTCAAGTAAGTGGACGTTTACCATTGTCACCAAATTCGCTGTTAAAGGATTAAGCGTACCGTTCATCGGAGCATCGGTGAAAACGTTATATTCTAAAATCTTCCTCCTAATCTTCCATTGATGATATTGATGTCATACTCAAAAGATTTAGTATTTATTTGAAATGGTTTTGTTCTTTTTTGATACAAATTTAGATTGTGTCATGGCGTTTTCAAATTAAAGGTTAAATATTGTTAGTACCTTACCGTAGCGGGCAGTTAGCGCATTGGTAGTGATATTGATCATCACGAGCCACGGTGCTATTTCGATCCTGCTACTGGCTGACCAAGCGTTTCATCCTTCCTTGGTCGAGAAATTGGTGCTAGACTTTTCTAGAAAAAGATCACTGTGTGCAGTCCAGGTGGGAGCTCTCCATCTCACCTATCTCTCTGAGGAGAATCGAGGTAATTCGGCGATATTCATGATGGAAGGAGTAGTCCTCAAGTACCAGCCGAATCCACACATAAATGGTTGGAAGGTTTTTTCAGATGTGATGGACGCGAGGAAACGAATCGAATGTAAATGTTGGGTTCCGCACAGTAGATGTGAAAGATGGGTCGTATAGAATAAATAAAAATCAGTTAATATAACATTTGTTTATTTTGCATGAACATTTGCCACGTCTGTTGCGTGGGTCCAGCACTTGCATTCGATTCGTTTTGCTCCATTCAACGTCCATAAAGCTCTTCGAGTTTTTCGCGTTTTGTTTCGGCTTATGCTTGAAGATGTAGTCTTCTCTATGAATGTCGTAGAATTCTTGTCGAGTTGGTTCCGTTTGCAGTCTTGGAGATAGCCGGACTAGGCGTTTCACGTGGATTGGTGGAGAGCTTTGGTGAAGGAGTCGAAATAGCGCCTTATCCACGCCATCTCTGTGCTGCCTCCACCACAGTTGCCATAATTAGTTTGTTTAGTTAGAGCCACCAGTTATTTTACGTATTTTGTTTGTTTTGTGATCTTTTTTTCAATTTAAACTTTTTTAGTGGCTTTGGTTTTTTAACACGTATGAGATAATTCACTGCCGTTTTCTTGACGAGTTTACATGTAAATATATGGTTATTAGTGGAACCATTCAAGCAGAAGTTTCTCCTGCATTGGTTACATCGTGAAAGGATTCGTTTTCTAGCTTTCACTACTTCTGGAGTCGTGATATTTTTATAGTTGGTTTTAAGTCGATGGAAAGTCTCTCTGTTTTTGTTAATGAATCGTAATGCTTCCAGCGTGATCACTCTAAGATTTGCATATAAGTTAGAATTGAACTGAAACAGATCTTGGTCTTGAACGTATCCGTTGTGATTTTCACTGTTGTTTCGGGATATTTCTGGACATGGTCACTTGTAACGATGGATATAATACTACCAATTTGCACTAAAGCGAAGTGTACTAGGGTTTTCAGCTCATGTGTCGAAGGCTCTGCAACTCTGTTTTCCCTGCTAGATCGGAATTTTCATAGGCATGGTCATTTGAGGGCATGGGTGCAACACTTCGAATTTGAATCGAACTGGAATAGAGTTGCAGTGACTAAATAGGGTAGAATTCTTACGCACCTAAACTAATGAGAGTAATAACTGAATGTCCAAGGCTATGGAGACGGAAGGACAAATGTGTCCCATTCGTAAGCTTTCCTGAGAAATGGAAAATATGCCTTGTGGTTGCTTACGTCCATAAGAAGTTTTGCACGTTATACCATTCGTTAGCTTGCGGTTCCGATAAGTTTTCAGATTTGGCCGCATCAATGTTGAAGAACGGAGTGGTTTTTTTCGTATCCTTCCATCTGGACACCATTACAGCTCTTTGATTCTGTTGGTTTTGAGTGGTCAGTTTGTCTTCCGAATGATCTGCTTGAGTATCCTTTTGTTTTTTCTAGGCGTGCCAGTTTAATGGGTCTTCCTCTAGAGTAATTTCTCAATCAGAGCCGTCACCTTTATCGTACCTCTTCGTTTTTTTTATAGTCAATTTCCAAATATTGCATAAATATTGTATAAGAATGTACTTATTGTATGATTCCTAACGGGAACAATTAATCCGTTTCAATGTGGTTGTTATCAAAGTTCAATGAGTCCTAAAATACGGCAGTTTTGCCCACCGATAATTTCATCATCATCTTTGTCCTTAATTTCATTTTCTTCAGATTTCTACTCACCAGAGAGCGCAAGAGCATATTTTCCTCAAATGCTGCACTTGTTTTATCCAACTTGATAAAGTTCGATTTGCAACTTTTCAAATTTTGCGCGGATGTGTAACAATCTGTGGTGCAGCGACTACTTCGTATATGATTAGAGGGGATGTTGTAATATTAAGAATATGGAATAGAGATTGCTGATACAGAAAGACATTTGAAGGAGATGGAAAAGCAGAAAATGTTCTGGTGAATTTTATAGGTCTTCTTCTCATTCGTTCAGACATTGTGATTTTTATACTCTTAAATTATCATTGTATCGTATATGAATCAAAAGACGAGCGGGGAAAGTAGGTGGATCTACATGGAACAGTCTTGAACAATTACTTGGTTCCAAATTTGTTAACGAGTTTTTTTAAGGGATGCCGATGAGAAACCATCTGTGGGACGACAATTTCGACCGCTTTATGATATTCCCTTTATGTTTCAAGCTAGAGAGTTCCTTCGAAAGAGGTTCGTAATAATGTTTTATGTTCACGAACTCGTTGTTTGTACGTGTTTAATCATTATGTTTAGGTTGATTGGTAAAACTGTCGCAGTAACAGTGGACTACATTCAACCAAAATCGGAGCAGTTTCCAGAAAAGACTTGCTGTACCGTTAAAATTGGCGAACTAAACATTGCGGAGGCCTTGATCCTCAGAGGACTTAGTAAAGTTGTGCGACATCGGTCCGATGATGAGAATAGGTGGGCGAATATGAATTTGTACAGTCACTTTGGTAAAGATTTATTACCATCATTACAAATTACTAGATGACTTTTCTGCTCAGGTCATCTGAATACGACGCCTTGTTGGCTGCCGAGGCGAATGCCGAGAAAAGTAGAAAGGGCTTGTTCGCTGACAAATCTGCTGACAAAAAAGATACTCTTCGCATTCAAGAACTCCAAGGCGATCTTGCTAGAAGCAAACAATTTCTACCTTATCTGCAAAGAAGTACACGGTTCGTTTATTTGAAGAGATTGAAGCTTAACAACATATACCAGGTGCCAGTATTCCACCTAAATAATTGTTTTAGAGCAGAAGGAGTTGTCGAGTTTATAGCAAGTGGATCGCGTTTGCGCATATATATCCCTAAGGAAACAGTTGTTATCACATTCTTACTCGGTGGAATCAACTGCCCCAAGGCATGTCGTTTAATTGCGTCTCCTCAGCTCGGTTTTTTGTAGTGTATTAGTAATAAATAATGTTTTCAGAGTGGTAGACCAGGTCCTGGAGGTGTGACCACACCTTCTGAGCCTTTCGCTGACGAAGCAACAGCCTTCACCCGCCACTTGGTGCTACAACATGAAGTGGAGATCGAAGTTGAAGGGTTGGATAAGATGGGAAATTTCATCGGATATCTATTCGTGGTTCCTGAAGGTGGAGGGAAGGCTCAAAATCTCTCTGAACTCCTACTTGATCAAGGTCTAGCATCTCTACATTTCACTGCCGAGAGAAGCGGACACTACAATCAGTTGGCGGCAGCAGAACAGCGTGCCAAAGCGACTAGGTAAGCTTCTTTTAATAATGAGTATTGCCACACAAAAATTAAGATTAGCATATGTATGATGCTATCTCACCATCTATACAGGAGGAACATATGGCAGAATTATAAAGAGGAAGAGGCTGTTTCTGATGAAGTTATTGTCCAGCAGAACGATGCAGCTGAAAGACGTATAAACTATAAGAAGGTGGCTGTGACGGATATCTCGAAAGTATGTTGGTTCGAGTTTTACTGTTAACACATTCAATACGACTCTTATTGAAGGAAGCTTACTGGACGCTATTTCAATTGCCGCCATTGCAGTGATCTAGGTTTGGCTTCTTCGTGTCTAAGTTATATTTCCAGGGCACGTTGAACTTTGCAGCCCAACATGTCGAGGATGGAGCAAAGCTTGAGAAAATGACGGCAGATTTGCGTGATTACCTTCGTCAGCATCCACCAATGACAGGGGCATTTAACGCGAAGGTGAGCTCCAATCTTGGTCCATACGAATTCTGTGGATTCTGAGAGCTACAGAACATTAGCTGTTGTCAACGTGTCACTGTGTGGAAAACGTGTAGTATGAAGCGTCATTTTGGAACAAGTCATTTCAGCGCGGTGATTTGTGCGCGGCACCGTTTTCTGTTGATGGATTATGGTACCGTGCCAAGGTGGAAAGCATTCGAGCTGGGCAAGCCGAAGTGCTGTTCATCGACTATGGAAATGTTTGTAAACTTCATCGCGTTTCTGTAGATTGTGTTAATAGTTATTCCATAGTATATATTGTAGCGTGAGGTCGTACCTGCTTCTTCTTTAACACAGCTACCTTCTGGTTTTGCTCATATACCTTCCGGAGCTAAAGAATATGGACTTGCATTGGTTGCGATTCCTAATGACAAGGTTTATTTGCAGATATTCATCACCGTGTTCCCATTTATTGTATGTTAACAATGAAGCAGTTAATATCGAAAGATCTTCTCCCATATATATTGCCTATTCTTTCTCTCATGGCGGATTACGATGTGAAATAAAGCCACAGCAGGACGGCTAAACTAGTTAATACTTTGGTATTTTCAGGAATACGGATTGCAATGTGAAGACGCTCTTCAACAGTTGCTGTTCTCCGTTCCCACTGCCGAAATCAATGTTGAATACAAAGTTGGGTCAATTGAGTACTGCCAGGTTTGTGAAAAAAGAACAGAATTTGTGTTCCATTGTGTTGACAAGAGGAGCTGGAGTTGACTAAATTTGATTGCAATTGCTATCATACACGCCTGATAAGACCACCTGTAGGGTCTTTACATCTGGTTTAGGTTATGATAGAGTGTGCTGGGAAGAGAATTGATGTGGGTAAAACTCTCATTGAAGATGGATTCGCACTTGTTGAGAAAAGAAAAGAGCAAAGGCTTCAAGCAATGGTGACTTCCTATCTACAAGTTTTCAGTTGCATTTGGTTTTGAGCAAGGGTTTCTCAACATCATTGCTTCTTTTAGTTGGCCGAATACGAACACGCTGAGCAGAAAGCACGTCGCGAACGCAAAAATATTTGGGAATTCGGAGATTTTACAGGGAGTGATCTTTGAAACGAAATTTCCTATTTTCCACTCCCTATCTCGTTTGCAAAATCGCAGTTATTTTTCATTAACCCTCCTACTCGTCGTTAGCCCACATCTTTAATCGTTTCTAACTCCACTGAATGTTGTTTTGTTTTATTTTCGCTTGTTTCTCACGGAGCCTGCAACTTCATTGTGATATTTATGTTTTGCATATTTACTGAAAGTGATATGGTTTTATCTACTAAAAGGGTCTTACCATGGTTAACAGACGTTATAGCGTTGGTAGTTTTTCCGGGATAACCGTGAAAACATTATGTTAATCAAAGCTTGTGTTGTTTATTAAGACAACACTCTGCAGTTCATCGAGTAGTGAAAGAAAGTGATATATTTATTTAATTGTTGGCTTGGCTGTGTTATTTTAGCCTTCAAAATACATATACTTATCTACCGGTAGAAATACTCTTACCATAGTGTCATATTTTTCGCGAAATCTTTTGTGTTTCCCGTGACCTCGCCGGCGTACACACACAAAGGTGGAATCTTTAATTTCTTACTGAGTCGTGCTATACGTACTGAATTGGTAAATATCGTCTTGCACAACGACGAAGTGTTCTACGCACTTCTTATTGTGTCCATATGATTTGTTCGAGTAGAGGAAGCAAATCAAACCCTTTAATTCATTTATGGCATATTTGCTTACTCCTTTTTTAATTCCTCCCAACGGTTTACCGCCTCGTTGTAGCTGGGAGGTGTTCCTGGGTGTCGGGCTGCGGTGTACAGCGGAGGGATTCATCGTCCCAGCAGGGTCTCCAAAGCTGAAGAGTCCGGCGTTTCCATCAGGAAACCCAGTTAAGAGTAAACAAATACCACGATCCACCACCGTCTTGGAAACAAACTAGTCGCATTTTGGCAAATCTTCCTCTGATCCACAAGGGCGCCGGTTGTCTGTGGTAGTGACGACCTGAGGCAGACTTTGGCTGGGTTGATTTCGGAATTCCAGGGAGCCACAATAGCTAAACCAGCAAAGTTCCAAAAAAGTGGGAATTATATTGGGGCTCGCGCAACCAGTGAAAATAAGGCATCCAAGTATCCAAATAAGTTGTTTCATTGGCACTTTCTGCGCTATCTTTGCTACTAGATCTGCAAAGTACAGATGATACGTGTACACAGTGTGGTTCAAGAAGAGGTATTTTCTACGTATAGCAGCTCATGCGGAACAATTGTTGTTGAGAGCTGCCTTTCATTGGTTCCACAGCTATTCTTTTCACTTTGTACTGAGAGTAATACAAAGTATTCTTGATGAAAAAATATTCGGTACTTCCGTTTTCGGGGATAGTTCTGTCATTATGATTCATATATAAATCGGTTGTGCATAGCCAAAGATCAATAGTTTCAAGGAGCAATTTCGCTAATAAGGAATGTTTGGTAATGTGATCCACCATGGACGAGGATTGCGAGGGAAAGAAACGAATGGTAAATGTGCTGGGGTCCGCACAACTCGTGAAGACGGACCATCCAAGTTAATAAGTTAGTGGGTAATGTGGTAATCGGCGACTTTGCAGCAACACTTAGTTTTCCCTGTTCCATACGGAGTGACATATACAAAATAAAAGGATAAAACTCTCGGCATTGATCAAACCCTAAGGGATCCGCCATGCATTCGACTTCATTAAGCATCGGTTGGAAGTGATTCAATACATATCTAGCCTTTATAATGACTTGCAGTGGCATACCGATGCGTCGAGCCAGAGCTATTATTCTCCCAGACAAGTCTGGTACAAATTTGTGGACCCCAGAGGGATGGAAGGCTTGGTGGGCCAGGGGCGCGGGGATCGATCATATGTGTGTGTTGCAGGACGCTGGCGGATACCGTTCTCTATTATTTGCGCAATGCATTAAGTTCAAGGCGCGATGTGCGAAGCCATTTTTAAAAAATAAAGGATGTCACGATACTTTGGAAATACAATTAATGGCTCCTAACGCTTGTACCTGGGTTGGTTGAGATGTTTTCGTATCCTCAGGGGCATGTGTAGCGCAGTGGTCGGAGGCGCCCTGCAATACAGATCGGATCACAGCGTCCAAGGCTCACGAAGCCTGCCATCCTTCCGGTGTCGGTATATTAGAACCAAACCTGTTTGGGAGGATAGCAGAGCTGGTTGGATGCATCGGAAGGACATCTCGAGTCATTGTAAAGGCCAGATATTCACCATTCAGCAATCGATGTCATCTCCATCGATGCAAATGCTTGGCGCAGCGATACCTGGGGGTTGATCGACGCCGAGAGCTTTATCCTTTATCCTTTTATCTACCAGCAGATCTTTGCAACAGTTAATTTTAGAAGGTTTTCACTGTATATATTTGGAATTAGGTTGAGGACGAAGAAATTTACCAAGAAACAAGTGTGTGGCACGAGAAACTATGGAGAAGAAAATGTTTCGGAATAGCTTACATTTCTGTTGTGCATCGCCAGTGTATTAATGCTCCCCTCTCGGAGCTTCTGTTGATTTTCATGTCATGGGGTCAGATTCCCTCAGACGGAGATCATCAATAGAGATTTCTGAAAAGAGGTAAACATTTGTGGAAGGTAGACACGAAAATCATTGGCGATACAGCACTTAGTGTTGATCAATTTCTGAGGGGAGCTCAGCATTCGACTTCATTAGTTGCAGATAGTTGAGTATCTATTTGGCCCATACAATGACTTTCTTGGGCTTATTAATGTATGAAGTCTTTATAACGAGTTCGATAGCGGTTTTCCAATCTCAAATTACAATGATGACCTTGGTTAGCGAAGAGGTCAGGATGAAACCAACGACCACGTAGTTTATGTTGCTGGTGGTCACTAAGGCCTACACTATACGGGTATAAGAATACGAACCCAATGAGCGGCTGACGAGTAGCTGTTAGGTAATAATGTAATTCTTCAGACTGATTTATGGCACGGCTTCAGCTCAACTGGGTTCAATGCCGATTTATGTTCCCCAGATCAACCTCGTTGACGGGTGATTGTTGACAGTACTAATAGGTTAATAACAATGTTAAGAGTAAAACTAAACGAACGACTCGTGTGGTGTTGTGATCAACGCGTTAGCCATCGTAAACGGTAACAGCGCGTTTAGTCCACCGTAGGCACCAACACCAGGAGTTTTACAAATATCTCAGCATCATTATGGTCATTCTTCAAACTCTTAAGCCGTCATCATTATTGTGTGTTATTTGTTCCTAAATTCATAGATTGAGAAATAGTTTGTGCAGCTATGAACGTGTGAAGTAGCTGAGGGCTT